ACCACAGGCAGCCCAAGCTCACTACTAGAAAAGCGGACGTGACTCTTACCGTGTTGCGCAACGTTTTATATTTATAAAGGTTTGTATGGGATGTTATCGGTTTGCCTTAAAAGAGAGAAAAAAATGTCTTGTTTTGAAATAAAATGGGCTTACCTTATTGCCTTGTTGTTTTCTTTGTTGATTCCTAGCGTCTCAGGCCATTTTGAAGCGTTTTCGGCGAGTTAGCGCTATGTTGGTGTTCAACTGCTAAAAGAAAGACAAGGCCGGAAACCTATTTTAGAAGTGTCCGTCGCCCGAAGCGAATAATTCCGCCAAAAAATATTACCACCAGTCCCGATTCCTCCATAAAATCAAAGCAGAGGTGCTGCAGTTCCATTTCCATTCACTCGATTCCGAATTTCTCCCACAGATCTTTCACAAGCGATGCTTTTATCTCCAGATCGATCGGCTTTCCAATTTCGAATTTGGCTAGTTGAAACATTTGCGGGCCCGTTCGCCGATCGCACAGTATGTTGGGTAACAAAAATAAGCCCGGCGAGGGTAGCCAGCGGCCTGCAGTCGACAAACAAACCAGTTAGCTCCCCTGGTCCCCACGAGAGGTTTTGTCAAGACCGCATTGTTTTGATCGACCAATCAACATCGAATGGAAATGTTTCAGCCCACAAATGTTTCAACCAGCCAAATTCGAATTTGGAAAGCCGATCGATCTGGAGTTAAAAGCATCGCTAGTGAAAGATCTGTGGGAGGAATTGGGAATCGAGTGAATGGAAATGGAACTGCAACATCTCTGCTTTGATTTTCTGGAGGAATCGAGACTGGTGGTAATTTTTTGGCGGAATTATTCGCTTCGGGCGACGGACACTTCTAAAATAGCTTTCCGGCCTTGTCTTTTTTTTAGCAGTTGAACACCAAAATAACGCTAACTCGCCGAAAACGCTTCAAAATGGCCTGAGACGCTGCTAATCAACAAAGAAAACAATAAGGCAATAAAGTAAGTCCATTTTATTTCAAAACAAGACATTTTTCCTCTCTTTCAAGGCAAACTGATAACATCCCATACAAACCTTTATAAAAATAGAACGTTGCGCAACACTGTAAGAGTCACGTCCGCTTTTCTAGTGGTGAGCTTGGGCTGCCTGTGGTTTCTTCGTGATGTTATCACAAGCAACCCTGGATCTCAAAAACGCAATCGACTGCGCATGTCACCGATCTTACATCTGACAAATTTTGGCTTTGCCTAGCTATTTAAAGAATAGGCTGCTGCCTCGCTAGAGTAGGGCTCGCCAGCAATTTATGGAACAGCAGAGTCAAAAATAATTTGCGTTGTGAAAGAAAAACGATCGTGCGAGATGTGATAACAGCTCTGATATGACAGGTTTTCCTATCTCCTTTTGCAGCGTGCTAAATCGCGATTCACAATAGCCTTATCTTAAATGCATAAGGATCAAAATATAGGACTTAATCACGATTGCGATCTCTAGTGCCACCACAGCGACAGTGGCATCCACCGACGCATAGTTGTCGCACTGGAGTTTTTTTTTGTTTGTTTAAGGGAAAAATCTGTCAACGGTAGGGTAAAATAAGTGCAACCCCCTCCCCAACTTGAAAAACTTGCCAAATTTTTGCAAATCGCTAAATTTTCGCCAATTTTCAAAGAACTCGATGATCGATGTCCAGCCTCGGAGGCCTCCAAATTTTGGCAAAACAAACAGTCATTTTCTTTTTTTAACCGTTAGGTGTCATATGTCTGGATAAAATTTCATCAGGAGAAAAACAGTAGAATTTTCCTCGTCCACGAATTTGAGTGCCGCTTTTTTTCAAATATCTATGACTCGTACGCGT